CTATCTATCTATCTATCTATATCTATCTATCTATCTATCTATATCTATATATCTATATATATATATATATATATATATATATATCACTGCAAAATAATGTATTGTGAACAATAAATCTATCTTGCAGCACAACTAATATTGAATTGAGTTTTCTTCATACGAGTAGACCTCTTTGCACTAAGGCGTATTACTAAAATGTAAAGCAATTAGCTGAACTGTATCTCAGTAATGTGCTCATGAAATCAATTTAATGCTCTGTACAATCCAGAGTCAGTGCAGGACTGTAATGAAAACTTTGCTGCTGACACTCTTACTCATATTGCTGGTCAACAAATATCAAATGCACAACCTCTGCTCATATCAAACTATCACAAACACACACATATAGACTCAGTCTATAAACCGCATGACTGTGTTTGTAGTTGTTGTTACAGTGACTCTTGTCTTCAGCAGAAATGGAGCACAGGGTGGGGCTTCGGTGTGATTGACAGTGATGACGTCAGAACTATGAGCTCAGCCTGCAAATCATGGGCTCCTGCAGCCAGAATGGAAAATTACCAGCCCCTCCCCCCACTACATGTCTCCTCTCTCTCCCTCTCTTCGTATTTTTCCCCTCTACCTTTTATCCCATCTCTCTTTCCTCAACACCCCCACTCTCCTCCCTTTCTCTATCCCTCTTTTTATCTCCCATCCCCCTCTTGTTCTACCACACAGGCAACATGCATCCGCTTAGAAGGAAAATCTCAGCTAGTGCAGAGACGATAATATAGCTAAATTCTGCTTTGTGTGGTTCTGTTTAACACAACAAAACACAGCAAAACACAAACCTGCAGGTGCACTGTAAAACAGCAGAGGAGATAACATTAAGACAAATATATATATAAAACCACACAGTATGACCAGACGTAGAAATCGAATATGTTGATTAGAGACCATCTAAATCATCCTCATGCATTTAACTGATGCAATCTACTAAAGTGTACAGCAGAGACAAACACAACCAGATTGACCTAAAATAATAGGGATGATAGAGAGAAAGCATTCAACTGGCCATTAACAATATCAAACCATGCAAGAAATGAAATACAGGTTTAATTTGTGAATGATACAGCACTATATATAGGGATATAACACAGCCCTTCTCCAAATTACAGGCTTTAGAAATTATCTGTATTGCTCCCACCCTGCTGAGAGGCCTAAGCTGCAGGGAGAGAGAGAGAGAGTGTGTGGCTGGACTGCAGTTGCAATTCTAATCTACAGAACCCGGTTTACAAAGTGAATTTAAATGAAAATTCCATTAGGAAATAGCTTCTAAAAGGATTGAAAGGCAGACAAAGAGGTTGAAAAGGAGCAACACTAGTAATCAGTACTGCCTGCAGTAAGTAAAAAAAGGGGGGGGGGGGGGG